TATTTTCTGTTGACCATGAAGCAGTGTGCAATTTTGGTTTCTCAGTAGATTCTAAAATTTTTCTCTTTCTCTTTTCCCTCACGTACACAGCCTTTGGTAATTAAATGTAATGATTGAATGGTGAACTTCAGTATGCACATGCAAGATCATCCTGCATACTAAAGCACTGACCCTTTAACACAGAATCTTCATTATATATGGCTTGAGAATTTACCAAGACAGCTAGATAAATTTAGAGGAAAATGGACTTCAGAGTTATAACTGTATTTAAAAGTCTTCATGTATATCCTTATACTTTTTACTATTATGACATGATTCAATAAAAAGAAAGTTAAAAAGCTGAATTGAAGAGTTTTATATAGTGTGAGATACTATGTTGGGAAAGGGTAATATTGAAAAACACACAGTTTGTACATCCCGGCCGTTATTTCTTTATTTGCGGTACTTCTCATTTATAGTTCTGTTGACAATCTGACATCATTGTTACTGAAACAGAAGTTATATGGTCAGGTAGAAATGAAAAAACAAGGAAAACTTTCCTCTAATTGCTATATTACTGATTGAAATGTTTGTACACCTGTTGAGATTCATAGTCAACAGGATTAAAAGTTATACCTAAGTAAATTATATATTCTAAAGTAAAGTTATAGTTTAACCTTAACTAGGCAGCTGACTTCTATAAAACCAAGTATTACTCAGGAGTGGGGGGTGGTGGGTAGGCTTACTCCCTCCTTAAAGAGGAGTTACAAGGGTTACTCTTGTAGCCATGAGGCAGGCAGCGAAGAGAACTAATCCCACCTTTGAGTCTAAGATCAGACCCTCAGAAAATTTGGATAAATCTAGGAATGCTTATAGTTCAGACTGAGCTTTTACCAAGTTAACATGTTTACTTTAAATCATAAATTTGTGCTTTCCAGAAACATTTATTGAGAAATACTATCAGTCTCATATTCTTTCCTTATATAGAATATATAAATATTTTACTGAGGACAAGCAGTTGATTGCAATATGAAATAATAAATGATAGGGGAGAAGTAGACCCACACACACACACCCAGGTGAGGAACCTAACCCAAAGGGTGGAGTGGAGGGAAAGATCATGTTAGAGAAGGCTATGTGGAAGATGTGACCCTTGTACTCAATCCTTAAGAACAAGGAAGAGCTGAGTAAAGAAGAATTCTAAAAAAAAAAAAAAAAGAAGAATTCTGTTTCTTCTAGACAGAACTGTGTGTGCAAAGGCCAGTAGGCAAAAAAGATGCATTGAGAGTACTTAAAATTGTTCCAGAAAGCTGGAGAATAGTCTTCTAGGGAAAATAAGCCAGAGAGGAACAAGTAAGCAGCCTCCTGATTTAAGTGCAATAAGGGAGACCCAGGTTCAGTCCCTGGGTAGAGAAGATTCCCTGGAGAAGGGAATGGCAACCCACTCCAGTATTCTTGCCTGGAGAATTTCATGAACAGAGGAGCTTGGTGGGCTACTGTCCATGGGGTCAAAAAGAGTTGGACACAACTAAGTGATTAACACTTTCACTACTACTTTAACTAAGAAATTTGGATTTGACTGGGAGGAGCAGAGGGGAAGGGAGTTATATAATTTATTTTAGCTTGAAGATTATAGGAAAAATAGAAGACCTCTAGTTCTGCAGTATAGTGATAAGACTTAATTTTTAATGTATTGTTGGGGGAATTCCGTGGTAGTCCAGTGGTTAGGACTTGGTATTTCCTTTTCCAGGGACCCAGGGTTGATCCCTGGTCAGGGAACTAAGATCTCACAAGTCATATAGTGTGCTCCCCACCGCCACCAAAACTATGTTCATGGCAGTCTCCCAGTCCCACCATGCCTTACTCACAGCAGAAGCAAATGCAGATCTTCTCTAAAGGAAGACATCCTCAGGGACTTCCCTGGTGATCCAGCAGTTGAGACTCCAAGCTTGCAATGCAGGGGGCACAGGTCTGATCCCTTATCAGGGAAGATCCCATGTGCCACATGTTGTGGTAAAAAAAAAAAAAGTAAAGGAATACATCCTCAATTTAGGCCTCCAAAATCTCATAGATTTACAAAAAATTAAATATGGGTCTCTTAATCAAATGTCATCAAACATACAAAGAAAAATACACCCATGAGAAAAAATCAGCAGAAGTAACAATGGTTCATTCAAGGACCTTAGATATTAAAATGATCAAACAATATGAAATGTCTATGATGTTTTTAAAGAAAAGAATCACAAAATGAACACAAAATAAATCACAAAAGATGAAATGATCACAAATGACCAGGTAAATATGAAAAATAAATGAAACTTTAAGAGTGTAAAGCTGTGGCTCTGATGGTAAAGAATCTGCCTGCAGTGCAGGAGACCCAAGTTCAATCCCTGGAGAGGGGAATAGCTACCCACTCCAATATTCTTGCCTGAAGAATTCCATGGACAGAGGAGCCTGGTGGGCTACAGTCCATGGGGTTGCAAAGAGTTGGACACGACTGAGCGTCTAACACTTTCTCAGGGTTAGTTTAACATATTAAATATAGGTAGAGAGTAAATTGGAAGTCAGATATGAACTAACTCTTGAAAAAGCAATACAGAGGCAATGGAATGGAAAATATATAGGAGAGGTTAAAAGGCCTGGAGGTTAGAATAAGAAAAATTGAAGGAATTAAGGGAATAGAGGAAAACCAAAATTCTTAGAAATAAGAATTGACATTTTTTGAGAAGTAATAAATGAGCTTACAGATATGGGAAGTGTATACCAAACAGGATACATAGATTCACACACACTTATGTTGTAGTCAAATGGAAAAACACCAAAAGAGAAAATCTTAAAGGACCAAAGAAAAAAGACAAGCCACCTACCACAATCAGTAAGAATGATAGATTTCTCACTGCAACAATGGAAGCTAGGAGGGCATAATATCTTCAATATGATAAAGAGAAAACTATCTAGAATTTTATGTCCAGAAAAACAATATTTTTAAAACAATGGTAAAATGAAGACATTTAAGATCAACAAAATAGAATTTGCCTTCAACAGACTTTTACTTAAGGAAATTCTACTTTGGAAAGAAGGGAAATGGTACCAGAAGGGAGATCTGAGATGCAAGAAGGAATAGTGAGCAAAGAATTTGGTAAGCATCTGAGTAAATCTAAACAAGTGCTACCTGTATAAAATAGTGATGTCTAATTTGTGAAGTAAAAGATACAGTATTGGCCAGTTAGGATAGATTAATATATTGATTTGTTTTAAAAATAAATTAGTATATTAATTTTAAATTAATTATCATGCATGTTAAAATTTCAAAGATAACTTCCTAAAGAAAAGTGAATGTATAACTTCTAAATCAATAAATAGGAAAACTGGATTTTTTTGGCCACACTGTTTGGCATGCAGGATCTTAGTTTCCTACCAAGGATCAAATCCACACCTCCTGCCTTAGAAGCATGCAGTCTTAACCAGTGGACCACCAGGAAAGTCCCTGGAATTTTTAAAAGCTGTTTTTCAAGGCTTTGCCACTTAGCTTTGTGACTTCTGTCATGTTACATAACCTCCATAAACCTTAGTTTCCTCATCTTTAAAATGTGGATAATAGTAGAACCTCCCTTACAGGATTGTTGTGAAGATATAATCATATAATGCATGCAAAGAAGCTTAGCACAAATCTACAACATAGTTAAGTGTTCAATATATATTAGACATTACTTTTATGAATAGTGACAGTCTTGGTCATGCTTTAAAGCCGTGCTAGGAAATAAATAAAGCCATGCTAGAATCTGCCAACATCACACCCAGCCTCTCTCTCCAGTGAGAGGGAAAGCTGCACCCAAAGATAGCTAAAAAGTGTTACACAGTTCATAACTGATAGATCTTCCTTGTGTTAATCACAACTCCTTGCTTAGAACCTTTAGAATTCAATATTGCCTTTCAGTAAAAAGTTCAGAGCTTCAAGGCTACAGCCTTTCTACAGCCTAGCCTGACCAACTTTATCTCGTAAGTTCTCTTTAAATCCTTGAGTTAAATCTCTAAACATATTTGAGGTCTCCTTCCTTAATGCTTTTGCTTAAAATGCCCTTTTGAAGAATAGGTAGAATTTGAATGACTTCCTTCATCTGGAAAACCCTCACTCTCTGCTAAGTCTCCCAGCTCAAGTCCCATAAGAGTTCCTGACAACTCTAGCCCAAAAGTAATTTATAATTTGAAAAAGTATCATCTAAACCAGGCTTTCTATTGTAATTTATACCTGTCTTCTCTTCTCCATTTTTCAATTGAGCCTTTATTTAAATCTTATATTGTCACAGAAAGCTTCCCTCAAGTTTGTAGGTCTTTACAGCTACATTTTCAGATCCTTAAGATAGTGGCTATTAATTGTATATCTTTGTATTCCCTGTAGTTGTAGAAGGGAAACTAACATGTAAGTGCCTATAATATGCCAGGTATTATATTAAATGGTTTCTTATATTGATAATATATATCTTACTTATTCTTGACAAACTTATATAGATATTAGTTCCCTCATTTTACAGATGAGGACATTGCACTTGAGAAAGGTTAAGTAACATACCCAAGGTACTTAACTAGTCAGTGGCAGAGCTGGGTTTCTACTATACCATTCATCAAAATAGCTTTCAACTAATACATACCTTGGAGGTATAAAAGCTCACATGGTATACATCTTTCTACTTGACTTATTTGTATCCCACCGTGAAATTTAGAATGTCATGAAAGCAAAGAAGCCAAAATTCTTCTCAAAAATTGAAATTTGGCATGCCAATTATTAACATTCCAACCATAGGAATTCACAAAGAACTTGAAGTTAGAAAGTCATACTTTGGGGGGAGGGGTGGATTAAGGAAGTTAAAGACATTTTTTTCATTTATTCTATATTTTGCCTTGAGTTCATGTAATGTGATATGAAATGAATCACAGAACAAAATGGAACGTTCTTTGGGTGCTTGCTGCAAGTCCATATCCCTTTCAGAACGTTCTTTCTATTCTCTTTTCCCCTTTCCTAGGGTTACACATCTTTCTGGAATGACTGCATATCATCTGGCCTGCGAGGTGGCATCCTGATAGAGCTGGCCATGCGAGGTCGAATCTATCTAGAACCCCCCACCATGCGTAAGAAGCGACTACTAGACAGAAAGGTAGAGCATCCTCCATGAATATCCTCTTAAGAAAGGGCAGATACCAACAGCCCATTTTGGAAGAATAGGAAGATTTGAGACGTGAGACGACAAAAATACCACTTATTCAGTTGTCCCATTGTCTAACAGGTTTAATTATCCTGTAGCAGAGAGAAATCTAAGTATCCAAGGTCTAAAGAGTTATAAGAAGTTCACGGTTTTGTCTTCCCTTTTTATGCAGAAAAGTCACATCTAGGATGGTGTTGATTATTTTTCCTGTATTTATCTATAGCTGTAATATTATGAAACAGTATTATATGATGAGGAGGTAAACGTGGGTCAGATGCAGTCTTAACCCTGGTCAACCTCAGATAACCATTCAGTTTCCCTCCTTCCAATTATTTTGCAAGTCCTCTCTAGCATGAGTTATACACTCCCTCCATTTTCTTATTACTCATTTTTTCCGCTCACAACTTCACTGTCATACTTAGCACTCTAGTGAAACTACATTCTTAGGTGTCACCAGCTAATTTTCAGTCTTCAGTTTATTTTTCTCTTTTAACCTGTATGTGGTGTTTGACACTTTTGACTACCTCCTATTTGAAACTTCCTCTCTTCTCGAGCTTTGTTATATTACATCTTCTTGCTTCTCTAGCGGTAGCCTATTTCCTTTACTTCTCCATTCCTTAATATCTAAATCTCAATTTATATCACTTTGTATCCTTTTAGAGATATCATTTACCTTTACAGCTTCATCTATCACCCTTATGATATTAATTTTCAAATTTCTAGACCTGTCTTCTTTTTCCACCTCCAGGAACATAGTTAACTATTGTCCAGACATTTCAACTTGGCTATCCCATATCAGTTAAAACCAAGCTTCATCAACTTTACCTGAGTTTCCTATCTTTACTAATTGTTTCACAAGTTGATTTTCCAGGCTCAAAGAGTTATTATTGAATCTTTTTTCTCCATTATCATTTATATCCAGTTTGCCACTGGGGCCCAGTTCAAATGTTATTTTTATCTATCCATACTAGATTTTAAATTTCTTGAGGAAACAGAGAAAATATGTTATGCTGCTTTGCTTTTCCTATGACATTTAACCAATAATATATGTATAGCATATTCACTGATTTTAATTTGAATGAAGTAGATGAAGCAAAGTCTCTTGTTTCTTCTTTTCTGAAAGGTACTGCTAAAGTCAGACAGCCCAACGGGTGATGTTTTACTGGATGAAACTCTCAAGCACATCAAAGCAACTGAACCCACAGAAACTGTCCAAACATGGATAGAGCTACTCACCGGTAAGATGATGCAGAATGATTTAAAAAACCCCACATTTTATAATCTTTACCCTACTCTTAAGGTTAGGAGAAGTATAGGAATTCAGGGTGCTGAGTAAGATATATATATATTTCACTGTTAAACTGTACTAATGAGGGACCAAAAAGGCATGATTAATCAATACGTAAAGTTTTCCAAAGCTTCACCTTACCTCTGTGCACCTCATAAGCTCACAAGAAATTTTTTTAACATCTGTGTTGATGTATCATTCACATACAGTTGTTGTGTAATTCACATACAGGGTCATCATACAGTTGACCCATTAAAAGTATACAATTAAATGGATTTTAGTATGTTCACACAGTTGTGCAACCATCATCACAACCTAAGTTTAGAACATTTTCATCATCCCCAAAACAAACCCTATGCTCACTAGCAGTTTTCCCCACGTTTCCCAGCCCTCCTGCCCAGCTCCGACAACCACTAATCTACGTTCTATCTCTGTAGATTTGCCTATTCTGGATATTTCATATAAACGAAACCATACAACTTATGGTTTTTTGTGACTGACTTCCAAGGATAATATTTTCAAGGTTCATCCATGTTGTGGCATGTATCAGCACTTCATTCCTTTTTTCCTCAAAGGCAAGTTCAAAAACTTTAATATAAATAACTAAGCCTATGGCATAAAATTATAGGAGAATCTTGCACAGGGCACTTTGAGGTCACAGCCAGTGTCACGTTCTGGAACAGTTTTTTTAAATTGAAGTTTTTATTGAGACATTTGTATTGAGTTGGTCAAAAAGTTCGTTCTGTTTCTTCCATAACATCTTACAGAAAAACATGAAGGAACTTTTTGGCCAACCCAGTATATTGACATGCAGTTGTAAGAATTAATATAGAGAGAGACCTTTATATGCCTTTTCTAGAATCCCCCACTGGTAAAATTTCTCAAAGTTTTAGTATTTGATAATCAGAGTACTGAAATTTATATAATTCACCAATCTTGTTAGAATTTGCCTAGGTTTTTTGTTTTGTTTTTTTGTTCTTTTCGGCTGCACCACATGGCATGTGGAATCTTAGTTCCCCAACCAGGGATCAAACCCTGCTGCCTGCAGTGGAAGCACAGAGTCTTAACCATTGAACAGCCAGCGAAGTCACAAATTTCCCCAGTTTTAACTTGATTTTTTATTTCCAAATAATATTTCATTGAATGGTTACAGTACTTCAGTTATTTATTTATCATTTGATGGACATTTGAATTACCTCTTTTTGACTAGTGTGAACATTCATAGACAAGTTTTTGTGTGGACATGTTTTCATTTGGGGGGTATATAGTTAACTCTATGTGGTAAAATATACATATTTATTATCTCAATCATAAGTGTACAATTCAGTGACAGTGTTGTATAACTATTACTTCTTTCTACACTCAAAGCTTTCTCATCATCCCAATATCCCTCTTCCTTCCTCTCATTCCCTGGCAACTTCTTATCTACCTTCTGTCTCTATGAATTTACCTGATCTAAATAACTCATATAAGTGGAATCATACAGTATTTGTCCTTCTATGCCTGACTTACTTGAAAGCTAAGCATGTTTTCAAGGTCCATTCATCTTACAGCTTACATCAAAATCTCATTCATTTTTATGGTTGAGTAATACTCTGTTGTATGTGATATACCGCATTTTGTTAATTTCATCTGTTAATGGACACTTGGGTATTTCCATCTGTTGGCTATTGTACGGTAATGCTGCTGTGAACCTTGTGCATATATCTGATAAAGTCATTGCTTTCCATTCTTTGGATGTATATCTTGGAGTAGAATTATTGGGTCAGGTGATAGATAGTTCAGTAGTTTGAGGAACCACCAAACTTTTCTACAGAGGCTGCAGTCTTTGACAGTCTTACCAGCCATGATAAGGTTCCAGTTTCTGTACATCCTCATTAGCACTTATTTTGTTTTGTTTTTAATTATAGCCATCCTAGTAGATACGAAGTGGTATATCATTGTGATTTTGATTTGCATTTCCCTAATGATTAATGATGTTGAGCATCTTTTCATGGATGATTTATGTATCTTCTTTGGAGAAATGTCTATTCAGGTCCTTTGCCCATTTTTGAATTGGCTTCTGTTGTTCTTGTTGAGTTTTAGAAGCACTTTCTATAGTCTCAACAGTAATCCCTTATCAGATACATGATTTGTAAATATTTTCTCTCATTCTACAAGTTATCTGTTCACTTTATTGAGAGTAACTCGATGCACAAAAGTTCTTAATTTTGATGAAGTCCAATTTATTTGTTGCCTGACTTTTGGTGTCATATCACTGAAATCTTTGCCAAATCTAATGTCATAAAGATTTTCCCAATGCTCTCTTCTAAGAGTTTTATAGTTTTAGTTATTAAATTGGTTCTTTGATCCATTTTTACTTAATTTTTTAATATGATATAAAGGTTCAACTTTGTTCTTTTGCATATGGATATGCAGTTTCCCAGAACCATTTGTTAAAAATACCATTCTTTCCCCCTTGAGTGGCCTTGGAAGTCTTGTTGAAAATCAGTTGACCATACCTGCAAAGGTTTATTTCTGGACTCTATTCTGTTGTATTAACCTGTTCGTTTGTCCATATTGTTTTACTGACTGTAGCTTTGTAGTAAGTTCTGAAGTTGGAAAAGTATGAATCCACTAATTTTATCCTTCTTTTTCAAAGTTGTTTTGGCTGTTCTGGATCTTGTGCAATTCTATATGAATTTGAAGATCAGCTTTTCCACTTCTATGGAAAAGGCTGTTAGAATTTTATAGGGATTGGGTTGAACCTGTAGATCTTTTTGGTTGGTTATTGCCATTTTAACAGTGTTAAATTTTCCTGTCCATTGAAAGAGACTTAGGCTGTCTTTCCATTATCTAGGTCTTCTTTAATTTTCTTTCATCAGTTTTATAGTTTTCAGTGTACAAATCTTTCACCTCCCTGGTTAGACTTATTCCTAAATATTTAATTTTCTTACACACTGTTACAAATGGGACTGCTTTCTTAATTTCACTTTCAGATTATTCACTTCTGATATACAGAAACAACTGATTTTTGTGTTTTCATCTTGTACCCAGCAACTTAGTCGAGTCTATTAGCTCTAGTTGCTTTTTGTGTATTTGGGGGGATTTTCTATGTATAGGATCATGTCATCTGCAGACAGAGATAGTTATAGTTTTTCTTCCCAACTTGAAGTGAAGTCGCTCAGTCGTGTCTGACTCTTTGCAACCCCGTGGACTATAGCCCACCAGGCTCCTCTGTCCATGGGATTCTCCAGACAAGAATACTGGAGTGGGTTGCCATGCCTTTCATTTTTCTTTCTTATCTACTAGCTCTGGATAGAACTTCCTTAAATTGTTGAATAGCAGTGGTGAAAGCAGGCATCCTTGTCTTTCTTGTTCCTTGACTTTTGTGGGGTCTTTCAGTCTTTTACCATTGATTATGATATTAACTGTAAGGCTTTCATGAATACTCTTTATCATATTGAGGGATTTTTCTCTTATTCCTAGTTTCCTGGAACTTTGTATAATGAAAGGGTGTTCGTTTTTGTCAAGTTACTTTTCTTTTTTTTTTTTTTTAATTGAAGGATAACTGCTTTACAGAATTTTGTTGGTTTCTAAGTTGCATTTCTGAATCAAGTAACATGGTCATGTGGGGTTTTTCTTAATTATATTAAATGATGTATTATTGATACTTTGATTTTTATTGAAATAGGCATAAATGTTATATTAGTTTCAGGTGTACATCGTGTTGATTCAGTATTTATGTATATTGAGAAATAATCACCACAATAAGTCTAATTAGCATCTATCATCACACATAGTTTTTTTCCTTGTGATGAGAACTTTTAAGATCTATTTTCTTGAGTGCTTTGAGTGCTTTGTGGCTTCAGTTGTGCCCAAGTCTGTGCGACGCTATGGACTGTATGTAGCCCACCATGCTCCTCTGTCAGTGGGATTTTCCAGGCAAGAATACTGGAGTGGATTGCCATGCCCTGCTCCAAGGATCAAACTCACATTGCTTATGTCTCCTGCATTGGCCAGCAGGTTCTTTACCACTCATGCCACCTGGGAAGCCCATTTGAAAGTCTGTTTTCTTAGCAACTTTAAAATATATAATACAGTGTTAGCAACTATAGTTACCATGCTATATATTACACCCCCAGGATTTATTTATTTTATAACTGAAATTTTGTGTCTTTTGATCTTCACAGATTGTGGCATTCTTCCCCTTCCCATCCCTAGCAACTACTAATCTGTTCTCTGTATCTAAAATTTTGGAATTTTTTGGTTTTGTTTTAGATTCCAGATATAAGTGAGATCATAACAGTATTTGTCTTTCTCTGTCTGACTTATTTTACTTAGCATAATGCCCTCAAGGCCCATCCATGTTGTTATGAATGGCAAGATTTCCTCTTTTTATGGCTGATTAGTATTCCAATGTATGTATATGTGTGTGTGTATATGTGTATGTTTGTGTGTGTGTATCCATTTTCTTTATCTGTTCATCCATAATTGATATTTCAATTGCTTCCGTGTCTTAGCTACTGTAAATAATGTTGCCGTGAACATGGGGTACATGTATCTTTTCAAGTAAGTGTTTTCATTTCCTTTGGAAAAATTCTCAGAAGTAGAATTACTAAATTATATGGTAGTTATCATTTTAATTTTTTGAGAAATTTCTATACTGTTTTCTATAGTGACTGCACCAATTTACATTCTCACCAACAGTGCATGAGGGTTCCCTTTTCTCTATGTCCTTGCCAACATTTGTGTTTTTTTTTTTTTAATTTTTTAAAATATTTAGATATTTATTTTTATTTATTTACTAATTTGGCTGCACTGGGTCTTAGTTGAAGCATGCAGGATCTTAATTGCAGCATGTGGCATCTAATTCCCCAACCAGGGATTGAATTTGGGTCCCCTGCATTGGGAGAGTGGAGTCTTAGCTGCTGGACCACCTGGGAAGTCCCTATCTTTTTGAAATACTTT